ACCACTCAGGCATCACTCAACTAATAGTTTGTAACTGAATTATAGTTGCAGACACATTTGAATTTGTTCATTGGGATAAAAGTACCTTGATATGTAATCAATTCCCATGGTCATTTTAGAGATTCTCTACTAAGCCATCTATTTGTGGTAAGAATTGTCATGATCCCTTAGGTTAGAGTTACTTAGTGAGTATAAAAAGGTAAGAATTATTACCTTATATTAATGGTGTACCTCTCTACAGTCCTTTGTACTTTACAAGGTACTTTGATGTGCAGTGTCTCACTCCAGGACCATGATGATGGTCAATAGCTTGTTAAAGGTCACAGAAGTAGTCAGATACAGGACCCAGGACTTAATCTGGGGACATTTGCCCTTATAATAAGCCAATGTTGGCCAAAGAAAAAAATCTGCTTTACCTAATGATGTACTTTACACCTTCTATGCATTTACTGTTCTTTATAACACATGACGATGGAGGCAATGTTTTTAAAAATCCACTAGAATTAAAATTTGGTTTAGAATACATTTAATCTCAACCTTTTTTTTTTTTTTTTTTTTTAACGAAAGAGAACCCTCCCCCTGCAACCAATTATTTTAGTCTCAGGGTTGGCAAACTTTGCTTGTAAAAGGCCTGATAGTAACTATTAGGCTTTGCAGGCCATATGGTCTCCATTACAACTATTCCACTTTGCTGTTTTAGTGTGAAAGCAGCCATAGCTGATATGACAATGAATGAATATGCTTGAGCTGCAATACAACTTTATTTATGGATACTGAAATTTGAGTTTCATATAATTTCCATGTGCCACAAAATAGTATTTTTTAAATGAATTTTTACATTATTTTAAAAGATAAAAGCCATTTTTTTAAGCCTACAGACTGTATCAAAACAGGTGGCAGGCTAGACTTGGCCTGAAGACCTTATTTTGTCAACCGTTGTTTTAAATAGGGAGGGAAGGAAAGGCTATTAACTTCTTGACTGCAGAGGAGGAGGAAGAAGGAGTGGTAGTCATAGGCACTTCAGTTGATGATTCTGTGGTTAAGACTGAGGTGGCTGGTTCCTCCCCAAAATGTCATTCTGTCTTGACATTTTCCACTCATTTTAGTGAAAACTTGATGACTTTGCTTCATTTCCATATCTCCTAGTGAGAAATCTTATGACTAGTGATCATGTGGTTTAGACAAATGACAGTGAGACATTCAGTGTGGAGAGATTTGCCCTCTAATTGTTTCCTGGGTGCTAATCACAGCCTGTATTTTGTCCCTAGGTGAGGTCAAGCTCTGTGTCCACTGGCTGTGTCCCCCCCCCCCAACAGTTTCTAGCCTAGAGCTAAATAGCCAACATTTATGGAATTACATACTTGTTATTAACTGGTGGGGAGACAACTAGAAATCCTGTTCCCACTATCTTGATTTTCAGAGGAGCTAAAGTCACACTCTTTAGATACTCATAAACACATACCATTAGGTCCATGAACATACATGCTGATTATCACCGGTGATGGCTTTCTAGCTGGCATTTGGTCACCAAAGTGCATCCAGAAATCCAGACATTGAACTTATTTATCTTCTTTCTTCTCTTTTTTAAAATATGGAATGCTTCACAACTTTGCACGTTGTCTACACTCAGGGACCGTTAACCTTCTCTATATTGTTCCCAGTTGGGTATATGTGCTGCTGCAGCGAGTCACAGAAATTGTACTTCTTTAAAGCTCTGTGATCCTGCTGTAGCAAATCCCTTCCCAGGAGGCTTCTGGGAGCCTTCCCTTCTGACACTTAAACCCACCAGGAGAACAGTCTCTCTCAGAGAACTGCTGGCGCTTTGCTGTTGGAAACTGGGAGGGACAGGACCAATTTAAATATTCAGAGCCTCAGAAGTTTAGTCATTTCAACGGGGAAGTTCCCTTGGCTTGCCTGTGCTCACAAGGCGGGGTTACTTGCACATTAATTCTAGATTGCCCCCTTCCTGTTATTTTTAGTCTTATTTTAGCTTTCCGCTTTACCTGTCCCAGCCTGAGTCAATAGAGGTGGGTGTGGCCATAAGCTTGGGATCCTGGATTCTAAAGGTGGGCTGAACTCTTGCCTTCACCCTTCTACCCTCCTTAGAGGCCGAACAGGTTTGCAGCCATCCACTTACAAACCAGTGAAAGGCAAGACACAAGGGAGGTAAAAGTTCACTTTGGGGGAAATTTGTTGAGGCTTCTGAGGCTTGCATATGAACCCAAGTATTAGTAAAATCCTACTTTCTACAGTGAAAAACCAATGCCTTGCTGTTGCCTAAATAAGTGAGCTCATGCTGGACCAAAATAGAATGCTAAGAAATGAAACAAAACAAAATAAGTGGTTTTCATTTAGAAAAGGAAGCCTTCTAAATAAGTAAAATAAAATAAAAAATTCAGATGTTAACCCTAAAATTGCTATGATTAGTTAAATCCAAAGAGGTTATAACTGAATACCCTACATCCTTCATAATTTACAAGTTTCAATAATGCATTTAAATTGTTTTCACCAACATTATTCATTAATGTTTTCAAAAATATATATTAATCCATGTTTGTTTCAGAAAAATATAGCTGTTAGTAAAACAGAGGCAGACACTTTTTTTTTTTTTATTCATGAAAGACAGAGAGAGTGAGAGAGGCAAAGACACAGGCAGAAGGAGAAGCAGGCTCCATGCAGGGAGCCTGATGTGGGACTCGATCCCAGGTCTCCAGGATCAGGCCCTGGGCTGAAGGCGGCACTAAACAGCTGAACCACCCGGGCTGCCCATGCAGACACGTTTTTAAAAATGTTGAAATTCCTTAACTAACTATGTGAGAGACTCATGCTATTTATATATATATATATATATATATATATATATATATATATAGATATAGAGAGAGAGAGAGAGAGAGAGAGAGAGAGAGACCCTTTCAACTTAGTTTATGCTTTTACAAGTTACTAGGTTTTTTTTTTTTCATTCAAAACTGGTATATCAGATCTCTACTATTTTATTTTATTTTTAAATATTTATTTATTCATGAGTGACTCACACACCGAGGCAGAGACAGAGGCAGAGGCAGAGGCAGGCTCCCTGTGGGGAGCCTGATATAGGACTTATGATCCAGGACCCTAGGTTCATGACCTGAGCCACAGGCAGACACTCGACCACTGAGACACCCAGCTGTCCCAGATCCCTACTATTTTAATAAGGTAGTATGGAGAACTATAAAGATAATTACTTTTGATATAAATAAATAGGCTTAATCTTGATTAAATCCATCCAGTGGTCAGAATAGATGGCAAAATAATGGGAATTGCTGATAACTCTCCCATCTCAATTATGTTCTATGTTGTTTGGTTGGGGGTGTGAAATTGGTTCATTACAGGTCAACTCTCATTAATTTTTAATCTACTAGGCTTTGCTGCAGTCCCCAGAAAAGAATATGGGGACTATGTCTAACTAGTATTAATCAGAGAGATGGGAGCACTTTTCCTCCTTCTGATTTTCTTTGATCACGTGGAAGAAGCTCTGTCCCCAGGTATAACCCACCTGGGGGGAAAGGTAGTAGCCTTAGCCTGCCTCACTCCTTCCTTCCTAGGACAAGTGATTTAATCTGATAGCTGAGGATAGGAGAAGGGGTAGCTGGCTCCTCCTTCCCCCTTTCTTCTGGGTGTGGATTACCTCCAAGAAGCCAGCACCTGCCATACCTTTAGAAGGGAATGCACTTTACCTGCAGGAGGAGGCTGACCCCACTCAGATGCTATTTGGACTTTATAAGTCTGTCTAATACTGGGAAACATAATTATGACACCTGCTATTCCACAGGTATAAGCTCTGTTCCCTGTATTAGCTTTAGGATTAGACACGTGATATTTTGGTTTCTCCTCTCCTTTATTCTTCTGTTTCATTTTCCAACTGGCTCAGAAATCAGGCTGGAAAGAAAAGTAATTATAACCCTGCCCCCTTGGACCTCCAACAGAACTGTCTGTCAGAGGTTCACTGGTAGAGATTAATCCCAATAATTTTCTTGAAGTTGTAGTTTGGTTTGGTTTCAGAATTACTTTTTTAGACCTATATAAAGATTGTCTTCAAGAACAACTAATGGCATTTCTAGAATGGCTTATGATAATTTACATTTGTTTTTATGTACAAAAGGCTAGTTGAGTACTTAATGGTTTAGAATAGGAAGGTGGTCTGCAGATCAAGCTAGTTCCCTTCTCGTTGCTCTGTCAACTGCTAAGTCCAGCTCATATGGATATCTTCCTTCAAAAGTATACAACAGATGTAGGGGAATTACTCTCCTGCCTTTTAGTCACCATATTAAAATAGGAGAGGGAGGGCATCTCGGTGGCTCAGCGGTTGAACATCTGCCTTTGGCTCAGGTCTTGATACTGGGGTCTTGGGACCAAGTCCCACATCAGGCTCCCCACAGGGAGCCTGTTTCTCCCTCTGCCTGTGTCTTTGCCTCTCTCTGTGTGTCTCATGAATAAATACACAAATAAATAAAATCTTTAAAAAGTAAATAAATAAAATAGGGGAGGGAATTTGTTGTTAAACATGCTTCCCTTTCAATAATTTTCTGACCCTCATTCAGACCTTAGGGATAAGCTGCCTAGAAGGCTTATTTAAGGCAACAGTAACAACAATAAAAGACCCCCGTGGTGACCAACCTAACGTGTTTCCTAAGTCCTGGAAAACTAGTGTGTTACTTGGGACATAAGACTTTTCATTGCCAAGATAAGGAACATCCATGGTAAACCAAGACGAACTGGTTAGCCTGTAAGACACACCTAGCACATCACTTCAGCTGGTCTATCTAGCTATGCCATTTCCTTCGATGTCAAGCTCGCTCTTTGTATTGGTCATGACAGAACAAACCGTCATCCCTGCAATACTGGCTTATTGAGGCCCTGTGACAATAAAGCTGAAGGCATAATATGGATGCTCAATGTTGACTGCATTGACCACACTTGTACTTCTTCCTTTTCTTTAACTCATTGCTACTTCTTTGCAGGTTTGTGATTCAGACACCATGCTTGACCCTGCCTCATCTGTGGAGATGGTGAAAGTTTTAGAAGAAGACCCCATGGTTGGAGGTGTCGGGGGAGATGTCCAGGTGCAGATCAGCTTCACTTTCTGCATGACTTACTTTTCATTATACTCTTTGATTCATTGAATATATGTTTATTATCCACCAAACACTCTACCAGATGTTGCTTTTGGTGCTAGTGACATGTTAGTATGTGCCTTGGGCCCACTTTATTTCCTCTTTTCTAAATTGAAAAAAAAAAAAGGATTTTTTTTTGCTTAACCCTGGGATATAATTCTTGTCTGTTTTGGCTGATAAGTTATACACAATTAATTTAAATGTGTAATGATTTCTATCATATCTTCTTGAACCATAACTTAATGTTCTGGTAAAATCTTGATATTGGAGTTCATTTAGTTGAGAAGGTAAAAAACGAATGAAAGAAGGGCAGAGATGGATGCTGTGTTTTATACCTAGGTATTTAAAAGCTGGTCAATATGTGGTTGATTAAAAATCCAAATTAGGTTACAAAAGAGGAAAAGAGAAGTAGCAACTCATATTTATACTGGTAAGAAAGGCAAAGGAACGATTAGCAAGTCGGTTTTCTGATTATGATTTATTTCTCACTAATTATTGATTTCCCATTATTGGCTATAAATGGAGAAACAATGAAGCAAATATTAACGAAAGCAACTTGGAATCTGTGGGATGGGAAATGAATATATATGTGAATACTTGAAAATATGTGAAAATTAAAATGAGTGCTTTGCAAACGTGATTTTAGCAAAAAGTGAGAGGTGCATGGAAACCTGAGTTTAAAAATTAGGTATTAAAAAAATAAAAAATAAAAATTAGGTATTTCATTGCTGTATAACCCATTTTATATATGCATGGTGATAGTGAAGGCAAAGACAATGCCTGGAAAAGACAAAGAAACCGCCTGGTTGGTGGTAAAAGAGGAAGCATGTGAAATCCAGATGAGAACCGAGCAAAATCGAGATGGAGGAAAGAATTTAGAAATATTGCCAAGAAAAAGCTGATAAGTTTCAGTAGCCTTTACATAAAGCATGATTTCAGGATTTAAGTTTTGGGGAGAGGCCAGAACAAACAGTTTATCACTGGCATTGCATAAAAGAGGGAAAGAAAGAGGAAGAAAATTGATAGAATTGAATGAGCTGGAAATTAACCAGAACAGGAGAGATTAAGACTTAAAAACCTTCAGATCTTACATGGTAGGAGAGAGTGGGAGAATTTAGGATCTGAGAAGTAATGCCTAAAAAAAAAATGCTGACTATTATAGCATAACAACAAGAAAAATTTTAAAAAGCCCAACAAAAACGAGGACAGAGTCACGAAGCAGAGAAAGTATTGCTCATCAAAAACTAAACGCATGCACACAATTTATCAGATTAACCTCAGAACACAGAATCAGAGAAAACAAAATATAACCATGTCAAAAAGAAGGACAGCTAACTAACCTAGGAGGATCAAACAACAAACATCGCTTTAGGTAGTAACCTCACGATGGCACCGATTTTGTTGGTATTAGTGAAGGCTTCCCTTTTATTTATTCTTTTTTTTTTTTTTCCTTCTTGCAGATTTTAAACAAGTATGATTCCTGGATCTCCTTCCTCAGCAGTGTGAGATACTGGATGGCTTTTAACATAGAAAGGGCCTGCCAGTCTTATTTTGGGTGTGTCCAGTGCATTAGTGGACCTCTGGGAATGTACAGAAACTCCTTGCTGCATGAATTTGTGGAAGACTGGTACAATCAGGAATTTATGGGGAGCCAATGTAGTTTTGGGGACGACCGGCATCTAACGAACCGAGTGCTGAGTCTGGGCTATGCAACAAAGTACACAGCTCGATCCAAGTGCCTTACGGAGACGCCTATAGAGTATCTCAGATGGTTAAACCAGCAGACCCGTTGGAGCAAGTCCTACTTCCGAGAGTGGCTGTACAATGCGATGTGGTTTCATAAACATCACTTGTGGATGACCTACGAGGCCGTTATCACTGGATTCTTCCCTTTCTTTCTCATTGCCACAGTGATCCAGCTCTTCTACAGGGGTAAAATTTGGAACATCCTCCTCTTCTTGTTAACTGTCCAGTTAGTAGGTCTCATAAAATCCTCCTTTGCCAGCTGCCTTAGAGGAAATATTGTCATGGTCTTCATGTCCCTCTACTCAGTGCTATACATGTCAAGTTTACTTCCTGCCAAAATGTTTGCCATTGCCACGATAAACAAAGCTGGGTGGGGCACATCTGGAAGGAAAACCATTGTCGTTAATTTCATAGGACTCATTCCAGTATCGGTTTGGTTTACAATCCTCCTGGGTGGTGTGATTTTCACCATTTATAAGGAATCTAAAAAGCCATTCTCAGAATCCAAGCAGACAGTTCTCATTGTTGGAACGTTGCTCTATGCATGCTATTGGGTCATGCTTTTGACGCTGTATGTGGTTCTCATCAATAAGTGTGGCAGGAGGAAGAAGGGACAACAGTATGACATGGTGCTCGATGTATGATCTTCTGTTGTTTGACGTTTGCAGTCACGCACGCAGACACACACAAAACCTTAGTTCCTCTCGGGACTGTACAGTATCGTGGCATCAGATAATGCCACCAAAGGAGACATATCACTGCTGCTGGGACTTGAACAAAGACATTTCTATGGGTTTATTTTGATTCTGCCAAAGTAAAACAAGACATCCATGAGAAGAAACTCAGATTTAACCTGTTATTTCTATGAAAGTGGGAAGCATTCTTTGTTTATGCACTTTTTCCTTACTGTACATCCGCCTAACAGTGTTTGCCCTATATACCTCACTAGCCATGCTTTATGTGGGTTATCATGGAAGAAAAGGATTTTGGAAACTCAAGGAAAATTTCTTTCAACATATACAACCTAACTTATGGACTGTGTTGATAGCTAATTTTTTTTTTTTTTAGAAAGGATTTTCTGTTTAACTCTACCAAATGAGATGCCAAAGGAAATTTTAAAGGCCGTTGGCTGTGCTGTATTTTTATATAATTGTACTGTGTTTTAAAATTTTGTATGCCAATTTTTAAAACAAATTTTGCATATTCTATATTTTACTTCTCTGCCAAAATACACCTGTTTTTTTATTATTATTAAAATAAGTTCTGAAAAAATTCATACTGAAAAAAAAAAAAAACCTACCCAAAATGTGAAGCTTGGTTGACTGATGTTGTTCATGATAGAAAGAATAAAATGTTTCTCTCTCTCTCTACCTTTTAAAATGGAATAGTTTATTTCCGTGGAAAATACTTAAAACTTTTAATATTTTAATTTTTTTTCTTTACCTTTAGAAAAGGCCAATATACCTGTCACACTTTGGGAGTAAGAAATACATATTTATGTGTACAAAAAAGAAAAAAGAAAAGAAAATCATTGAAAATCAAGGCCAAGGGGGTAGAAAAGTGCAATTTTTCATGAGATTTAAACGAAAAAAGGGAATGCTAGTCCTTGAGAGAAAACACTAGGCATCCGGCACTGGACAAATGTGAAGATTTCTGGCAGTGTTTTCTCAGGCTGAGTAAATTGGAAAGTGGAAAAAATTATCTGTGTTACTTGGATAAATATGATACAGTTCATCATTTTGTTCTGTGGCCTGAATTTACCAGATCCTGTCTACATATGGAACATAATTTACCTGTCTTTTTTTTTTCAGCTTGCCAGTTCACTTTACATGAGGTTTACAGGGGTGAGTTGGATACATTTTAATCAGTGTTAAGCCTATAGATACAAAACTGGCACATTCAAGCTCCTCTTCTACTTCCTAGGGAGGATTTTTTTTCCTGAATTTATACAGATAATTGCTTCATCTGTCCTGCTATTGGCCTACATAGATATGTTTATGTAGTCAAAATAATATCAAGGTTTAATACGTGTATCAAGAATTGGCACATAAAAAAAAAAATTTGATGAACCCGGTAACCTTAACCCAGCTAATTTAACTACTCCAAGGCCCTCAGTTATCCAGTTTGGCTTTTGACATGAACCATCTTGCCTTATAGCTGGTGCTGTGTAGACCTGTGTTAGAAACAATCAAATACACGGGCCATTGCATTAAAAAAAATGTTGGGATGAAGTGGAGTGTGAATGTGGAGAAGTGTTCAACCTTGTGCTTCTGCCATTCTGCTTCCTTTCCATGCAGATGTCTATGCTCCATCTATCCTGCCCAAGAAAAAGCTGCACATTCTACCTTCGATGTACAAAAAGGTACAGATCATTCTGCAACCCAGACTCACTGACCAGAGAGTTTGTGGGAAACGAAACACACAGCATGCCAACAAATGAAACTGAAACTTGAGTTTGCCTTTTTAACTATTTATGTTCTAAGTTAAGCTTTGATAACTTTCAAATGTCAAATTCTCTCATTCTTATAAAAGATTGAATTAATTGCCTGTATTTATTTTAGCAATTATTCAATGTATTTCCAGGATAGGATGTATAGTATAATTGATTTTTTTTGTAAATAAAATATTTTTGATAAGACTATCGCCTTTTTTTCTAAGGGAAGGGGGAATTTCAAATGAAACAAAAACTTTGTTTTCCTGATTGTAGTGGAATAGATTGAAAAACGGGGTATGTAAAAAACAGACAAACATGCTTGGTCAAAGATAATAGAAGTCGCTTAATGTTACTAATCATGAAGCAGAAATCCCCCAAATTGGTGTTTGGAAATCAGGAAAATGAGAGAGAGAGAGAGAGAGAGACCCCCAATTAATAGAACATGTCTTTACCTTCTACTTCCCTTGGAAGCAGCCCAAATTTAGACCAAAATTGCTTTATTATAGTAATTTAGGGGAAAAAACAGATTTTCAGAAGAGTTACAAGCAAGTTTGTTTAATTATAATACTTAACAAATAATAGTAAAATCTTAAAAGAACTTCAAATCCAATGGGTAACAATAATTAAATGAATTATGGCATTTTCAAACATTGGAGCATTATTATCCTTTAAAATATTCTCAGAGGATATGAGAAATTAGACAAATGTTACATTAAAAATATACAACCATTGTGTACAGTAACGTCCCGATTTTGTAAAAATAAAAATGTTTAAGTGTGGTTATCTCTACTCTTGGGAGTATCACCGATTTCTATGCTGTATACATTTTTGTATTTTCCAAATACCATGATCCTGTATTGTTTTTATAATCCGAAAAAGGACAATAAATACTGCTTTTTTAAAAAAGTGGGTTGGGACATCTAATAGCATTTCCTGTTCTGAGGAGCTTTGATGGTAATCCATTTTGCCACTCATCCCTCAAATTCATCTTATTTCCCAATTTTTATTATTTGGTTCCTAAGAATCTCTCATTACTTTGGTACAGTTACATTTTATATATAAAGAAAAATAACAGTAGCTACTGAACATTATTGCCACTCTAGTGGTGGTTCTAATCCCAATAATTCACTGATAAAGTCACTTGGTGCTATATAAGAGGTTGGCAAATAATGTAAAGAGCCAGTGTACCCTGCAGTCTTTCCTGGCCATGTGGTCTGTCATGGGACTACTTTGCTCTTGTAGCACAAAAGCATCCATAGGCATTATACCAACGAGTGTGTGTGGCCATGTTCCAGTAACCCTTTATGGACATCAAAATTTGAATTTATAATTTTCATGCATTATGAAATCTTTTCATATTTTGTAGTCCTTTAAATATCTTAAAACTCTTCCTAGCTTAACATCATTACTAAAACAGGCGATGAGCCAGGTTTGGTCTGCCGGCCATGGTTTAATGGCCCTTGCTCTTTAGAAATCTGTTGACTTATTTGTACCCTTAAATACTTCACACCAACACCTAATTTTTGGGCCCATACCAGGTTATCAGGGATTGCCAGAAGTACATTGTATAGACGGCCTATTTTAATTCTATCAGTCCAAAGGGGTTCCACTGTTCCTGCCATTTTACGGGTGAGGAATCAGAGGCTTAAAGAGACTTGGTATCTTGAGATCATAAAGCTAGCAAATTGCAATGGCAGAACTTGGCTGCACGCATTCTGATGTCAGACTTCTTCAAACCCAACACTCTGTGCCATCCATGGTCCAATGGTGCCAGCATCACATGGGAATTTGTTAAAAATGCAAATGCACAGCCCTGGTCCAGACCACCTGAATCAAAAGCTCTCACTGAATCAAAATCTTGGGCTGGGCCCCAGGACCTGTTTAATAAGATCCCCAGATGACTTTGACTCACCTTGAATTTGAGAAGCATTGCTCTAATCTAGTACATTCTACTGTTTTCTTCATACTAAGTATTGTCTCTATGATAATTGTCAATTCAAATATTCGTATTTTCCTACTGAGATTCTTAACTTTACTATCAAATATAGATGTTGACACACACCTGGTTTTAGTGAAGTTTACTGAATACCTATCATGAGTAAGACATTGAATAAGGGATATGATAATTATACTAACATTTGGTGCAAAATGGCATAATAAAGGTATAAAGAATGGCACAGGGATATAAAAAGGAATGAAGTGGATGATTAACTCTTAAGATCGATTTCAAGATAGTGTGGCATTGAGGTGTCTGGGATGATTGTGCAAATTTATGGGAACTAGGGACTTTCCAGATGAAAAGAATATGGGTAGAGCAATAAAGGTGTGATTTTTTAAAAAAGATTTTATTTATTTATTCATGAGAGACACAGAGATAGAAAGAGGCAGAGACAACCGGCAGAGGGAGAAGCAGGCTCCATGCAGGGAGCCCGAAGCGGGACTCGATCCTAGGACTCCTGGATCACACCCTGGGCCGAAGGCAGGCGCTAAACCACTGAGCCACCGGCATCCCAAGGTGTGATTTTGATATATGTTCCTTTCCACAGAACTAACAAGTTTAATTAAGGTTGGCCTGTATCTATAAGCAAGAGTGCAGACTTACCTATAGAAAGTACATTTGAGGACACCTGGCTGACTCAGTCAGCAGAGCATGTGCCTCTTGACCTTGGGGTTGTAAGTTTGAGCCCCACATTGGGCATAGAGATTGTTTAAAAATCTTAAAAAAAAAAATAAGTACATTTGAAGGTAGATCACAGAAAACCAGAATCCAACTGGGAGAAATACTAGAATGAGGTGTTTCAATTTGATAGGGCACAGGACATGCAGGTAATTTTGAATGGGGTGCTGACATTTTTGCAAACCAAATGATATGATGGAGGTTTGGATTTGAGTGCCCCCACATGAACAAGTATGATTTGGTTCAAGTGTGCTTATAATAAACTGGCATTATGCTTCCGGGCACTTGACTATTTTCATCCTATTCCATTCACATCTCCCTCTAGTACCTAACTCTGAATACAAAGGTTTAATTTCATCTCATTGTCAACAAGATAAAAGCATTAAAACAAATGCATTCAAGGCTAATGATTATCTGTTTGCATCTTCTCTCACAGGCCTTAATCCTATTTTTTGAGGTCCCACTAAAGTAGATTACTTTGCTTCCTCTTGCACACACTTTGCCCTTTACCTTAGCTTTTTTTTTATTGCAGAAATTCTCAGAAAACTTAACATGCTGATAAAGTTTTATGAATCTGCAAGATAGGCCCATCACACACAGAAATATCTACACTTAGATGACTACGGTATCCATTCCACAGGGATATTGGTTAACATCTAGATTAACATTGTTATCCCACAGTATATAGTTTAGGTTACGCTGGTATATAACCCCTGACACCACAAGTTGGATTTATTTTCACTCAAGATCTGGAAAAAATATGCAATGCTTAAGCTCCTTATTTCTTGAGTAATCAGCTCCAGGTGTGGAGACCACAGGCGTAAGAGGGAGGAGGCTTCAGGTTCATTTGGCTCAGCCCCTGAGTTACAGAAACAGGCTCTTTTTGAAGAGTTGTTTACCCACTTGCTGTCAGAAAGCTCTCCCCACTCTGGCTTCAGCAAATCTAGAGGACTTCTTTTAGCTCTGCTATTCGGGGCAACAAGGGGTTCAATCCTAATACATTGGGGGAAATGTGCAATGAGTAGGTGAGCCTAATCTTTGAAATAACTTGGCAATGTATAGGGTGCTGACTGAAAGGAAGCACAATTGCTTCATAAACTGAAGGGAGGGTTGCCTTTTATCTTGGACTGAGTTGGGTTGTTGAGTTGAAAAATCAAATACAATCATTTTTAACAAGGTCAGGAGAGGATCACAGTTGTACATGTTCACTCAGAACAGATGCATGAGCACGTCACATAAGGACACATCCCACTTTTCTTGACAATCCACTTTTCTAGACAACTCAAGCAAAATATCAAAAGCATAGGGCAAAATTTTTAAGGAAAAAAGAATCTTGGAAAAAATATTTCTGGGATCCACGTTGAATGGCTGTTTAAATGAAGTGATCAGTATAATCACTGTACAAAGGCAACTTGAAGTTCATTTAGTCCAACTCAGCTGCCTCAAATCTTAGTTGGAATCAGTCAAGACCTAAAGAAAGGGGAAGAGTAAAGGCCCCTTATCTCAAAGGAATCAATTGCAATCCAGTTGATTTTAGCACCTCGCTCAAGGTTGCACAGCTGGCTACAAACCCTGAGGCTAGCATCTGGGGCTCTTTTACCCAGATGTTTTGGCCTCCTTTATAATGCAGAAAACCTCAAATTAGCCATTTCTGGGCAGCTACTCCCCTCTTAAATCTGACATATTGAGGCTATGCTTAAATCCATTCCCCTTGAAAGGAGTTGTAAATCATAAGCTTTCAGGTTTACGGGTCTTTGATATTTAGACTTTAAATAAAAAGCCACCCTGGGCTGTCTACAATACCTGACATTTTCAGTACCACTAAGAAATATTGCAACATATCAAAAATGGATCTTCTAAAGTTCTTGCCCTAAACCAAATTATTGCCATATTACCCACTTTGGAAGTGCACAGGCTAGAACAGGTTTGGAGGTCTGACTTATTTAGTATTGAGGTTTGGGTTGCAGATTGACTTAAAGTTGAGAAAATCCCACTTCTTTGAGCCTTATTTTCTTCATGTGATTAATAATGGAGATGACACATCTCAAAGTTACCAGGCAGTCAAGAAAGCCTATGAAGTGCACCTAGGAAAGATATTTGCCTCCGAATAGAAGTTCAATAAAATTTTCTTTTCTTTTTTCCCTCTTTCCTGAGCAGCTAACTTCACTTATGTTCCTTTCTTCTTTCTTCCTTCAGTTGTTCCTTACTTCTTTTTTATTTTTATTTTTTTAAAGATTTTTTATTTATTCATTCATGAGAGACATAGGCAGAGAGAGAAGCAGACTCCTTGTGGGATTTGATCCCAAGACCCCAGGATCACGACCTGAGTCACAGGCAGATGGCTCAACCACTGAGTCACCCAGATGCCCCCTTATTTCCTTTTTAAAATTTCTTTACACAGCAAACCACTGGACCAAGAGCTGGGACATTTAATGCAAATACCAAGGAATTTTGCTTCTCAGAAATGCATTTTAACTTTTTTCCTAGGTTCATAATGTATTGTATGAATTGACTAGCACATGATGAGTTGACATTAGCTTCTCCAGGCAGAGGTACTTAACAGATACAGTATAGTTTATTTCTATTTTTAAAAGATTTTTATTTTTTCACCCGTTCTTGAGAGACACAAAGAGAGAGGCAGGGACATAGGCAGAGGGAGAAGCAGCTCCCCATGGGAAGCCTAATGTAGAACTTGATCCCAGGACCCTGGGATCACGACCTGAGCCGAACGCAGACACCCAACCACTGAGCCACCCAGGTGTCCAAGATATAGTCCAGTTTAAAACTCATTTATACTGCTTTCACAACTGGTGTGTTTTTAGATCTTAGGTTGATGTATTAGACCATCAAAGCAATGCCTCCATCTGTGGCCAGTACACTGTGAGAATAGGAGAATAGATTTTTTTTTGATACCAGTGAAATGGAATTGAGCAGCAGTTTCTTTAATCTTGCCAAATGCACCAATTCCACTGGTTGTGTCCTTCAGCATACCTCAAAAATGCATTTTAAACCATCCATTTGTTGGCTTCTTTACAGCCTTAAGATTTTTTCTAGCAATAGGTGGCCTTCTTTTCCTTTAGACACAAAGCAGGAGAATTGTTATAATTGCCTAGTATAGGCAATCTTGAAGTTCTAACTTCAAGAAGAGCACTTGATTCAATACAGTTTTGTGTCTGACAAAGTAAATATTCTGGAATGC